CTGCTAATTTACATACTGTGCTCTTATTGCACTGTGTTATTGGATCAAAGTTTCTGAAAACCAGGAAGGTGGAACTTATTCCGAGAACAAAAAGCTTAATGGATATTGACAATTTATTAAGTTAAAGGCCATCTGTTATATAGACAGTATATGTAACATAGTAAGTTCAAATAAGTGAATTCTGGTTTTGCTTTTCATTATTTTTGTTCTTGTTCCTAGAAAAGCCCTCACAGCCACAGGTCTATTATGCTCACAGACACCGGCTGCTGAAAATTAATTTTAAGAAAAGCAAAACTCAAAAGGTACATAATTATCAGGTTTGGGGCCATTCTGGAATGCATTAATCAATTCCAATCCAAATCAGGAAATAGAACTGGAATTGGAATTTAAACCTCCCTGAAATTCTAATTCAGTTCCAGTTCTGTTCCCCATAGTTTTTTTTTCCCGATCCGGACTCCAGTCCCATTTCCTGATTTGTATTGGAATTGATGAATGCATTCCGTAATGACCCCAACCCTGATAATTATATGAATGTCATACACGTCAGCTGCAGAGAGAGAAAGGCATAGCCCCAAGTGCAAGCCGTATGGGGTGGGGGTAGGGTTATAAATAAATAAATGGATAAATAAATGGGAAAAAAAGAAGATCAAGGCTCTATTGTAAAAGGGATGCATTCCTTGTCAAGCAATACACTGATATTCATGTTACGGAATAAATATTATGATAGAAAACAACATGTAGCTTCTCTGCTGTGAACTCTGTCAGCCTATGGTGTGATAGTGCAATACCCTGTATTGAAAAACAAAAAAAACATACAGTTATATGTACAACTGCCAAAACTTTTCATTGCATTGACCTTTTTTTAGTTTAGTTTATTGAATGGAAACAGTGATTGATTGATTGTATGTTGTAAGCAGATTATGGACTAAAATTCTATCTGTAAATGGTAAAAACATTTATATGTAACTATGCATTGACCAATGAGATGGTAATGCAATACAGACTTCTCATTGTGTCTCATTCTGGCATCAGGGGGGAAGTTTTTAACGAGGCACTATGTCAAGCCAGTGAAAAAAGACATGATGAATTGCACCTTCTGTCGTTCTTATGCTCCTATATCACACAGATCCTTTGTGCGAGTAAACTCCATGTTTTGTAGACAGCCACTGCTGCGGAGGTGACATCACTCTGTGGAGGTGAGAAAAATAACCACGCCGACCCGGGAAAAGCTAAGTCAGAGGACAGCAACCTTGGATGCTTGAAGTATGTTCCCTGTGGGAAATGTTACACTTCGTGGTTTATGACAGCGCAGTGAGTGAGGCAGTCCGTACGAAAGACGTACCCGGACAGCGGCGTCGTAAAGGGCCAAATGCTATCCCAAACACCCCATTAATGAGCGAACGCCAATTGTATGTCTGTGCCGTTCTTCCTGGTGAGCAGAGACGTGTGTATTCTGGCACACACCCTCTCGGGTTTTTTATTTTTTTTATTCTCTTATCAAAGACTATTCCCAATTTGTTTCTGCGGATCAAGCAATCTGGCAGAGCGCTGATCAGAATGTTAATAAAAAGCCCTTGAGGGCGATGGCGTGTTATGAATATTGAACGACGGCGCTCCAGACGCTACGCTCACCTGGTGCCGGCACGTGGAGCGCGGGCTGCTACACAGGCTAACACAGGCCAACGCGGGCCGACGCAGGCTAACACAGGGCAAACCGGGGCTCCCGCCAATCCTAGCTGGTGAGATTGCATTTACCCCCGTGCTTTGTGTCGGCCGCTTGTCGGGAGTGCTTAGTCAATAGAGGCGAGTGCTTTCGTTAAAGTAACACTGTTTCGCTGTAGATGGGGGGAAAACATATAACACCAAGCAGACGAAAAATGTAAACTTAGTTGCATTTTGAAGCCACTTTAGTAGAGGCGACGTGACTGAAGTGGAGTTTCTGTGGAAAAAAAAAAAGGCTAGCTTGAAAAAAAACTGCCCTCCAGCATGTGATGTACAGAGATTGGCATGAATATTGGACTGACTTTTTTTTTTTTTTTAAGCTTGAGCAACGTGTGCGTGTGTTGCAACAAAACCCTTCAAGGGTGAGATAGAAACTAGAGCATAGGAAATTGAGACAAAGAGAGCAGGAGTAGGGAGTAGAACAGAATAAATGACAGAAAAGAGAATAGGGGAGAGTGGGGGGGGGGAGGTAAAGAAGGGCATATTTTAGAATGTATCTACACCAACATCCTCACCAAAAAGTGGTCAGGCCATCATTGCTCAGTGAACGCTATTCTCCCAAGCTGACTGCAGCTCAGCAAAACAAGACAGACCCTGTCAGTCAGGTGACCCTTAGGACTGTGTGTGTAAACACAGAGCATAAAGGGCATCCTGATATCTAACGGCTGCCCGGGCAGAAGAGCCACTAGAATCAGAATGTTCTGAAAAATAAAGGCTACAGTCGGTGATGTTCCCCAGCAAGGTCTCCACACCTCCAGCATTTGGCACGTAGATTTCTGCACAGATTCCAAAGCTAAGACACGGATGCACACACATACACATGCAGACACCATATCTTCCCTCCAAGTCAAAGCACATCCCAGTGCTTTACCGGCATTCTCAGATACTAAGCCGAATTTACTGAATAGAATATCAACAAAAATACATGCATAAATATGCATATTTTTCCAATGTACAAATAAGTGAGTAGTAGAGCATGACAGTCCCTTCTCTTTGGTGATTAATCATCAAGGTCTTTTTCTGTTATCTGTATGTATCGCAAGCATAAGCCTGTTTATTTAAAAAGCCCCTTCACAGAGGAAAAACTGACAAGGAGATTGCATGTATGAATATACTTATACATTTGCATGCACCTCCATTATAAAAAACCTTGGTTTCTACTTAAATAGGTTCTATTCCAGACATTTTTACACACATTTTTAATTTTTCATTTCTAATGCCTTTATGTCTGGTATTTAAATTTCACATGCCATGCTCTTCATTTCAAACTAAATATACCAGCGTAACACAAGTCTGCCCCCCTGTGGTTACTTTATAAACTCCACCAGTACCCTAGTAATTCCAACCCCCCCCCCCCCACCCTCCCCCAAGCAAAAAAATTAGCTGTCCTCAGAACTGTAACAATGATCATTTACCAGACGCGGATTCTGATGCTGCTGGGCAGCACAGTGTAAAAATAAGGGGGCAACTGAGAAAGACCAGAGGCTGCCTGTGTCTAATGGAGGAACACAAACACCATACATTTGCTTTCAACTCTGCTTCTGGAAATTTTCAAACATTTTTTCCATTGTCTGCAGGGGTATAAATACTAAGAATTTCCCCTAAAATGGGAGCTCATCATAAATGGCAGTAGGGAGAAGTAGGGAGGTATGAAGAGGTATGAAGTACTGAAAAACAGTGCTGAAAACATTCAGCATTTTGCCCGAGCTGCTAAAAATCTTAATGCTTTGCTAAAGGCAGGCATATGAGAGGTGTCATTATTTATAATGTTTGATTTTGGAATGACATTGGAAGGCAGTGCTACATAGATTGGGGTGTTTTCTCAAACAGATTGCAAAAGGCAACACTTCGGATCTCCTTTAGAAATACCAAACAGCAAATGGTACTGGCCCTTCAGTCTCTTTACTGCCGAAGCATCTGGAATTTGAATTCCCCCCTTCACAGAGCATTTCAGTTATTCTGATTCTGCGGGAGAGATGCGTCATTCGCTCAGAGACCGTGGCGTAGGCGCTTTTAAAATATTGATGCGTCCGAAGACATATACGTCATATTCAAAGCCCGTGCTGAACATCCTTGACGGATGAAATTTGAAGGACAACAACGAACAGGCCACCCACATTCTCCCTGCCCATGTCTGCGCTCATTTACCGCGGCTCGCTCTACCGACTGGCTTACGGCGTACTTTGAATGGGGGAGGGCGGAGTGAACCACTTAGCCCCAATTTCCACCTACCCCGCTTCACTTACGGGGTGCAATAATGTGCTGCCTTCAGAAACACAGGCCTGATATGAGACTCATCTCTTAAGCACATTTAACGGCTCGTTACCCACCTTTTCATTTCAGCCACGCGGACCCTTCTTGGTCAGGTGCCACTTCGCTAATGTGTCGGAGATGAGCCGTAAGCGGTGCACGTTTTAAATCAAAGGCCGTCGATGCTCGGCGGGAACAGAAACTGCTGCATCACGGCCTCAAGCGCGCCTACCATCATCGGGGGCGAGGTGACCAGAGAATTGGGTACAGGGAAGAGAGATGTATTTTTTTTTTTGCGGCTAATGGCTGGGGAACTTGCATTTCTGGGCTGCAGGAAATGCACTGGGGGAAATTACAGAGGTGGCTGCGGAGAGCTTGGACATTGCTGTAACAGATTGAAGGCTGAGTTTAAGGAAACCCACTGTAGAGGTTTCCCAACCAGACAGGCTACAGTGTAACACCCAGGATTCGAAATAGACTGAGCTTGATTGGGAAATAACAGGCTACCTGAATTCATGCTGAATAGCAACATGCGGTCAAACAATAGCATAAGATTTAAGAGCACAGACTACACTGAATGTTCTCAATGAGTACAGAACAGCCAGACGATGTGAGGGTTAGGCATTTCTCAGCGGAATATTCCAGAATACCAAATATGACTGTGACAAGTGACTCAACAAGCACGAGAATTGGATATCACCACTGTATTTATGTTATCGATGTAAGTTCTTTCTCCAAGACAGTTCCTTCTCATCTCCACTGTGAAGGGTCAAGAAACTAATAAGCCTTTGTTGCAACAAACAAAGCCACGTCTTTGCAATTTCAGAGAAAAAAAGGGCTGCAGAACAATGCACTGGAGGGGGGAAACAGAGTCCAGCTTCTCCCACTGAGAACTCCCGATTCAAGTGTTTATACACAGCCAGACACATTCATGTTCTTGTTACAAAGAAAAACTGTTCTGAAGAAATTCAGTATTTTAAATTACTGCTTTTGGCAAACAGCAGTAAAACAAATCAAATTAAACAACAGACTTTCAATAATATACTTTAATAAAAAAAATCAATGCAGAACAACAGGAAAAATGCTACTTGAAAGGCCAGACAGCAGATTCAGCTGCACGTTTTTTACATTTATAATATCTGAAGCTCCCTTCTCCCCTCCCAGGTATCCAGCTGCACTCAGCCCTTGGAGTCAAGAGTCTGATGGGGGTTTGATGATGTCATTAGCAGAAAGAGGCGCTTCGAGAGCTCTGGACCAACCCTGCGAGTCGTAGAGGTCACACCCTCCCCGCGGCGAATCAGCAAGTCCGAAAGGAGGGACAGTTTCTCACGCTCGGAGCAGCACCCGGCGTACGCCTGTACGAATACACATGAACCGAGAACCTTTTCAAGGTCGTCCAATGACACCTCAAACACCAAACAGAATATTTACTACAGAGCACAGAGAACCATGCCCTGTTACACAGAGAAGTTGAATAAAATACAGTTTATACTCTGAGTAAACATTTCCAAGTACATTATTGTCAGCATCTGTCTAGGGACCACACTGATTAATTGTCATGAAACATTCCTTATAAAGTTAATCAGAATCTTAAGGATTTTCTCCCCCCTAAAAAATTACCGTTTTCCCAAACAGCACAGACCCGTGCTGACTTGCAGAAATGAATACTAAATGCGATTCATTAGATTCCTATTGTTTTTCCCTGTATACACATTCGTCATCTGGCCTTGATATTTTTACTGGGATATTTGGTTTACTTACAATGAGGAGAGAAAAAAAAATGTAAAAACACATTCGGAGATACTTAGACAAAGACCCTGCGGTCTTTAACAGTAACATAACTGCGGTGAACTCATGAAGGCTTTCAGAAATGATTTATGCACGTAGGTGGGACCCTGCATTGCTGTTCCTCCTCCTGTTATCACAGATTTCTGCATTTGCATATCTGTGCAGGCGGGCTCAGTATTTCACAGGCATGCGCACAAGCTCCGGGTATCTACACACACACACACACACACATACATACATACACGCAAGGGAGGCTTAGTTCACCTGAGCTAGCAGCTGCGGGGAAGGGTAGGCAGCGAGAATGGCGTTGGCTATGTCAGGGCTGACCCGATTCAGCTGCTGGATCTGCCGTCTCCACACCTGCAGCAGGCCCTTGCCGTCCCTGTCCACCCGCTGACCTCCCGCCCACTCGCTCTCCAGGCAGAAGCTGAAGCCTGTCTGCTCCCGCTCCCGTCTGGAAAGAGGAAAGAAGGAAAAAAAGAAAAAAAGACAAGCGTCCGCAAGCAAATGCATGCTGTCCAGCTGCCCCCCACTACAGGTTTCAAACAAATCCTGTCATTTGCAGAGGAGACCCAAAGACCCGCCCCCAGCACCACCCAGCACACCAATCGGCACAGACTTGGACATGTCACACGTGTAACCAGCTCACTTAAACGGTGCCTCTGCCACTGCTTTGGTTGACATGGCGATATAATCGGAGAAGTCCTTCCAGCTTGCCAGGAAGTGCACTTGGACCCCTGTGTGTAACTGCAGGTCCACCAGGGCCTGGAGATAGGAGAAAGGTGGATAAAGGAACGGATAATGGAGACAAGATTAAACGACAGCGCTACCAGAGATACCAACAGCCAAACACTAGGAGTTTATTTCATCTACGATATCACAAGCTGCAGTGAACACAGGGCCCTGTCTCGTGTCCTATTCTCTAGAGCAGTGTTTCCCAACCCAGTCCTCAGGGACCACCAGACAGCCCAATATTTTTCCCAACCCAGTCCTCAGGGACCACCAGACAGCCCAATATTTTTCCCAACCCAGTCCTCAGGGACCACCAGACAGCCCAATATTTTTCCCAACCCAGTCCTCAGGCACCACCAGACAGCCCAATATTTTTCCCAACCCAGTCCCCAGGGACCACCAGCTCCCGTTAGGGGTCCCTAATAAAAGCATCATCCCTAGCCAAAGAAAGCCAGCATACCTCCTCCAGCACAACATGGGAGATCTCCGGAAGCTTCTCTCCCGCCTCCTTCCGCTTCCTGGCTTTCCCGAGAGCAGCCACTGCTTCATTCCCCAGCACGGCCTCACGATACTTCTTCTGGCTCTGCGCCTTCTGTGACCTAAATACGGAGAAGGATGACTCCAGCTGTTAAGCATGCCACCTACTGGTCTGCCACTGCACCAACTGGGTATCTGTGCTGTAGCAGTGTATCGCCATCTGAAATGATGAAGGGGGCGTGGCCATGTCAGGAAGAACACTTTCTGCTTGCGTCTTGCCAATTACACCTGTTGTTTTCTTCCTCCCGGTAATCCTGTTCTGATATACCCTGATGCCCACATCCAAAATAAATTTTACTTTTACTCTTGCTGTGTTGACACTGCCCCTACCTTGTCCATGGGAACCCTGCTCAGTGCCCGGTCCCCATGTCACATGGTTCTGGATTCCCACAGTTTTATACACCAAGGCACTGCCAATGTTTAAGGGACAGCAGGTTTGTGGAGATCGGCTCCCTCGCTCACCGGAAGTAGTCTTCTATGCCGATGACAGCCAGACTGGGCATTTGGCCTGAACTCTGAGCCAGGACTCTGCTTGTCCATCCAGTCAGAGTCTGGCTATTGTCAAAAAAACCTCTCTGTTCCTGGCCAAAGAGTGGAAAAGTAATGATGTAAGTATTCTCCATACCCACAAAATCAAATGATCAAGATAATGTTAATATAAACTTTTATTTGTATTTGTGAATGCCAGAGGCAATTGAACCTGACAACCTAAAAACAGATGTGACACGAAACACAAGTGGCTAATGTGACATTAATCAAAGCTGGCCATTCTATTGTGCTAGCATTAGCGTCAGTGCTACAACCCTATGGTCTTACCTGACTGTAGTTGCTGACCATTGTGATGAAATCACTGAGTGGCACGTGAATCACCACATGGGATTCTGGGACACACCGCGCCTCGCCAATCTGCCCGTCAAATAACAAAGGGACTGAATAGCGCAGGAAGAAATATAGTAATTTACAAATAAATACCTACGTCCAGGTACAAGCTTTAGAAAAAAACCAGTAGGAATGCCGACCTTTAAGTGCTTGGAATTACAGTGTGTTTGGTCTTAGTCGGGTCAAGGGGGTTTAGTAAATGTGTGCAATCAGCGGGACTGGCCTGTGGTTCCGGGGCCCTCCTAGCCCATGTGATGCTTCTGGGAAGGGCCCGTCTCTCAATAGCGCAACTGCAACCCAGTGCCTGGAGTGATGTCAGGAGCGCCCCCCCACCCTCGAGCTGCAGCAGAGCTGTGGGGGAATAAAAAAAAAAAAACACAGAACCGGGCTATCTTGGTGATCTTTATCACATTTGAAGCCCAGTAGCCCTATAAGCACACTCTGCTTCAATGATCTTAGAGAGATATTCTGTAGCCTGATATCTATCCTAAGCAATTACTCAAAAGCCATTTAGAAAGATTAAAAAAAAAAAAAAGTTTAATGAGATACATAATTATGGATGGAGCAGCACGCAAAATATTCTCAAGCACTGAAAAATTGCCAAAATGAATTTTTTAGTTCCAGCTGAACATTTAATCGAGATGTTATCCTGAATATAAAAAATCTAGCTCTCTCTTTAAGACAGTCATCTCTCTAAAGGGGACTGAAAGCTTTCCCAGTCAGCACTGCACACTGGTCTGATCATTTCAGGCTTTGCCACAGCACTTAAAAACAGGGGCCCGCCAAGTGTGAAATATACGCTGGCACGCCAAAAAATTTCACTGAGTGAGTAGTGCTTAGTGTACCATTCAAGTAGTAAAATCACCATATGTGCTTCTGAGGATACATTGCTGGCTTGAAATATACCGTCTACTGATTCTCTCTGGCTGTAGACTATTACACTCTTAAGGAGACATTCACCTGGATCCACACACACCACCATGTGTTTGATACACTCTTCTGGCCGTAGAGCCTTAACAGCATCAGCGAAAGCCTTCTTCTCAGCTCTCTGCCTCTCCAGCTCGAGTTTGCGGACAGCCTGATTCTTCTCCCGGGCCTCCCTCCTCTTCAGGGCATCCTCCCTCGATGCCCTGATCGCCGTCGCACTGCGCTTGGTGGCCCCCCCAGCCGAAGAAGAGCCGCCAATGTCCGTCAGTGCTCCGGGTTCCTCCAATGATCCGGAGGCTGAGGAGCCCACGGCGACCCGTGTGAAGTCCGGGGCTTTTCCGCATTCTTCGGAGCGGAGAGGGAGCAGGGCACGGTGTTGGCTGACTGAACCGGAGTCTGCTTTGGCTCGATGCCGCAGAACTGAGCTGCCAGCCTGGAACACGGAGGCTGGGAGAGGGGGTGTCACAGCAGGGACAGATGACGTCGAGCCTGCCAAGCGCTGCTTTAGTCTTATAGCAAGGGGAACGGTGATCTCTTCTTCATCACTCTCACTGCTGATCATCACTACATCCCTGGGTTTGCCTAATCCCTCTGTGTAGGGTTCTGGGCAGGAGGCGTGGGGCAGCGGAGCAGTAACATCCGTCTGCTTTGCTCGAGAAGGAGCTGACTGGTTAGGTCGGAGGTTCAGGAAGGCACAGCTGGGTAGGTCCTCCGTATCGCTGGAGTCGGTAGATTGGTCATCCAGTCTGCTGCCTCCCATGCCGATTCTGTCCAAAGTTCAGCCAGTACTATGTGGAACAATTTTACGTCAACAAACAAGGTAAACATAAAAATATACTTTCCATAATCTGAAATGTACTCATACTATACTTATATACATTCCAAAAATTTCGCGATCTGCGGGAAAAAAATACCATTAAAATTATGCAGTAAACTTAAGTTGGATAGCGGTATAGTACCATTCTGACTGGCTACTAACAATGATCCTATGAAATGAGAGAGATCGGACTTAAGAAAAGCTCCCACTAAAATGTTATATGTCTCAGATATGTAACATTAATTTTGTAAAATACGTTTTTCTTACCTACTTATCTGCCTACCGACCTTACTCTCTATATAGATAGAGATCAGGGATCTTCGGCAGTGCCGCTAATACTCTCCACGTGGTCTTTTAAACTAGCATCTATCCTCTTATTTCAGTAATGTACGATAATACGGACTGTTCTTACCGTCAACCGGATTACACGGGTGCCCCTTCGGATTGAATCGCCCGCTTTTGTTGCCCGGAGGACGTCAGCTTGTACTTCCGGGTGAGGGGTCGGAGTGCGTGTCTGTGGAGCTCAGCATGGCCGCCCTGTCCTTCACGCTGTCGGCCAGAGCGGGTAACAAAATGCAGTGATTCGCTGCAATAATTCATTACGATCATGCGGATTTATGTGCTTTTACTATGTATCTTCGTACGTGCTTAGTTTTTGCACTGATCTGGCTAGCCTTCACGTGTTAAATGCTGCATACTGTGTGTCTCCCTTACTTAGGGGAAGCACTAGCATCTCCCTTTCTGACTTGCAGCCGTCGATTGTCTTTATTTTTCATCTTTACTTCAGGTGTCTTCGCACCGTGTTACAGCCCACTGGCGGTCTTTGCAAGGTTTGCTTCTAAGAAGTCAGGGGGAAGCAGCAAGAATTATGGATCGGGCAGCCCCGGCCGGAGATACGGATACAAGAAGATGGATGGTGCATTTACTCCTCATTTTAAAAATTATTCCAGTTACAAGAGTACTACCATGTATGGAAACTAACTCGTCTGCATTAGCTTACAACTTGCAGTAATTTAATGGAATTCAATATGGAAGACCTGCAAAATTAAACGAAGCTATACATTGTACAAAGCAAAAAAAAACTGTTTCCGATACAGTTATATTAGCGAATTAGTTACAACGTGTCTATAACCTGGTATTTGATGCCTTATTATCTCTGTACAGGAAGTTTTGTCCACGCCGGCAACATCCTCGCCACCCAGCGAGGCATTCGCTGGCATCCAGGAGCGCATGTAAGACATTTTACATTTTTGTATTTTAAATTACTATGGAGCTTGATGATCTGGATGCATAAATCCTGTGTCTGTTTATTCCAAGGTTGGAATTGGGACCAACAAAACATTGTTTGCCCTTGAAGATGGCACTGTGAGATTCACCAAGGAGGTGTATATTCCCAGCCCCCGGAGCGTGGAAGCGGTCAAACTCATTCGAAAGCTCCCCAAGGGTGCGGTCCTCTACAAGACCTTCATCAACGTGGTGCCAGTCAAGCAAGAGGGCAAATTCAGACTTGTGGGAATGCTCTGAGAACGGACTCTAAATTCCTATATGTCAGCTGGAGAACTTTATGTATTTATTGTTTTTGTTTTTTTAAAAGGGGGGGACACTTGTCGGATGGTGTTATTGGTTGACTAATGCTAAATGCAGGTACTCCAATAAATAATTTTTCATGCTTTAAACTTGTTTTACGTAGCTTTCGGTCTTATAGCACTTTAAAATTCTTGGGGGGAAAAATTGACGAATTTCATAAAATCATAATGCGTATTGTGGAATACTTTTGCCATGAAGGGGTGTACTTGGTCTGCAGCAGTGTTTGGGTTGGTGGCATGTGTCAGTGTAACATCCACATGAATATGCCAGTACCCAAGGCTTCCCAGCAGAACATCGCCCAGAGCATCACAGTGCCTCTGCTGGTATGCCTTCTTCCCATAGTGCATCCTGGTACCATCTCTTCCTCAGGTAAATAATACACATGCACCCAGCCGTCCACATGATGTAACAGAAAATGTGACTCATCAGACCAGACCACCTTCTTCCACTGATCCGGTTCTGATGCTGAGGTGCCCATTGTAGACATTTTCGGTGGTGGACAGGGGTCAGCAAGGACTCTGATCTATCTGTGGCTACACAGCCCCATATGCAGATAGCTGCTATTCACTGTGTGTTCTGACACCTTTCTATCAAATCCAGCATTAACTTTTTCAGCAATTTATGCTACAGTAGCTCTCCTGTGGGATCCATAAGAGAAAATGATTGTGCCTGGATCACGGTATGCGGAGGGGCACTGAAGGCAACATGACGAAAAGCAAATGTAAGTGAGATTAAAAACAATGCTGTGTTTTTATATGAAAATTGTTAAATATTTTTAGATGTTTAGAATCTAAGACCTGTGCAATGTGAGCATATACAAGAATTTCAGTTCTTTTAGATTTGAAAACAAGTTAGATTCATTTACTGAAAAGAATCTGTTCAAAATAATGATTCGTTCACAAATTTGACATCACTATTGTTCACTTCGATAGCTGTTTTTGCATGCAAGTAGTGTTTCTCACCATAACCCGTTGTAGGTTGCGTAGTGCTTTTCTGTCCAACTGAAAATTGTGCAAATATGAATGTGATTCCGCATTGTATTGGACTTGAGTACTAATAAATCAATCGTGTTAGAACAGATTTGCAGTCAGATATGTCGTCGTAGCAGAACGGACTGTATTCAGGGTGTTCCCCTTCCTTGTGTCCTGTGTGCCCTGCGATCTAGGTCTCTTCACAGCGCACATGGCTGACTTAATTAAAGCAAACTTTCTAGAACCACGGTTGAAGCAATTATGGATTTATGGACTGTATCAAATGCAGGTTTCTGCTGGAATCTGGTAGGAATATAGAATATACTTCCCATGATTGGTCGCAGCAAGCCTACAGTATATCCTAGGTAGTACAGGGGAAACATGTTGAACAATTTACCAGATTTTCAGCAAAATGGTAGGTTTGGTTCACAAGGAAACCCATGAAAAGTAAGACAGAACAGGAAAATTCCACTGACAGGAATGAAACCCACATGAAGCCACAATTGTCTACTTTTGATGAGCTTGTGTGTTTGCTAATGTATTTGCTATAATAATCAGGCAAAGCACTGACCAAGTTATAGCATGAAAGAAATGTAAAATTGTTACTTAACTTACAAAGTTTTATAAACTGTGCATACAGTACTGTCAGAATAGACTGAGATCTTTATTCTTCATTATTTCTTCTGAACAATACATTTTACTTTATACATCTTTATACACTTGGAACACAGGCTAACTGGTGCCAGAAATGAGTGAAATGTTTTTATACGACTGTTTGCATCCATTAACATTAATGTAAGCAATTGTAGAGTGTGCTTTTGCAGTAGCTTGCTCTTCCCGTTTTCCACCAACGCCAGAATGAATTGTCCTATATAAAATTGGTTGACAGAATTGCAGACAAAAGATTATACAGCATAAGGGGGAAATGTTTGACCTAAGTTAAAAAAGAAACCATGAGAAATGAGTAACTTAACTGAAATACTTACTGAGGTTAATGACTCCCTGCGACAAGGTCCACTTCAGAACTGCTCCCAGATATCAGGTGTTACGTGTTCCTTTAAAGTCGGCCAGAAGCCGTTTAAATAAGTAACAGACAAATCAGAAAATCCTAAATAGCCACGGATGATTTTTATTTCATCCTGAGTCATTTAAAAAAACAGGCTCAAGTTCAAAGAACAGGGCATTTTCCTGTTTAGTGAAAAACAAAGTCTCCATCGATAAGGCATCATAGGCATCCCTGCGTTGAGGGTAAAGGTTCGGAAAGACACAGTGGCAAAATCCAGCTGTATAACTGTGTCTGCCTTTTGGCACTGATGTTTAGCCAGTTGACACTGATATTCAGCCTTTGGCCCAAATCCACTGACTTCTTAACTGGGACAATGTTATCTGCGTTTTATGTTTCTGTTACACTTATGAGAAGAGCTGAAGTGTGCCTTGATCTTACAGAGCCTTTTGGGAAAGGGGGCGGGGTGGCAAGAAGGCTCTACATACTGTAGGCAAAGGGGCACAGCGGGCATCTGGAGTGGAATGCTGCTCTGAGACTGCCTCTCACCTCAGCGGAGGCTTCGCTATGGTGAGAGTCAGCAAGAGAGGGCGAGGCAGTATCGGGTTCCCCAAGCCTGCAGGGGACCGTGACACACTGGCCAATGGATTCCTCATAAGTCGGGGGCGACTGAAAAGAAAGCAGCAAACAGAACATTCATTTGTAATAGAGTGTGGTGACAAACACAGTCCTATATTAGAACAGCAAGTATCCACAACATTCACACAAGAAAACAAAATGCTGATGATCTCTTGTTATTTTTAGGATATACCCTTGAGACTTCAATTATAAATTCTTATAGTCAAATAATACCAGTCTTGTGGTTTTATCCTGTTCTTTTTCTTGTGAAAAGTCTAGAGACTTTGACATGCCAGTGTGTGACTAAGCCTCTGTGCCTGTGATCACGAGGGCGCTGGTTTGAGCCTGGATTTGCCACTTCTGTGAGTCCTTGAGCGAGGCCCTTAGCCCCCAGCTCCCTGGGTGCCTTTATGGCCAGCTGGCTCTTACCTATAGAGAGCAAGCTGGGGGAGGTCTACAGAGAATTTCCCCACAGAGAATAATAAAGTATAATTTATTCTATTGTTAAAAGGCATTTATTTTTTTAAGTATTTACAGTAATAGAAGGGTTGTCATATAATAGACTACCATACAATTAATTACAAATAACTACTCATTTTCAGACATGCAGAAGTTAAATTTAGATAGGAAAGAAGAAATGGTTAAAGCCCACCATTATCGTCTGGAAAAAAGAAAATGGGTTCGTTTGAAAGTCAGATGAACATCAGATGTTTCCCCACAATTATCTACAAGCTGCTTTGTTCTATTGATTGCATGTGTGAGGAATCTCAGTGTTAGACCCCATTAACTGTGGTTTGGCTGCTGTTTATCAGGACTATACAATTAAACCAGGGTTCCACAATCCGTTCCTCATGACAGGCCGGGATTAATCAACCAGAAATAACGTAGCATTTATTTGCATAACATGCCTGTTTAAAGCTCAGTCCTGACAACGCCTTCCACTTGTGTTTGCGCCCTTACTTTGTATCCCTTATCTGTTAATTACTCTGATGCCCCATGGTAATAGGGACACCCTCCTTTCTTTTCAAGGCAAAATGAAAACATAAAACATCTCTTTGCTCTGGGAAAGCTAAATATCGTTTCCCCCACAGAGGTAGCACACTAGTTCTGCAATTAATTGCAAAAGAATCAGACAGCTAGGGAGGGTTAATTGTCTACAAGCCTGAGTCATTGAAGAAGAAGAAAAGAAACACTGATTAATTGCAGATGATCGTCTAATGATGCCCTGAACAGAGACATGCCTTCCAGTGAAGCTGTCTTGTTGTATCAATATTTGCAAGCAGGAAGCCCTTTGATTGTGCAGCTGCTCATCTTGTCTGGAACAGGGCTACTGAGGCCGAACCGCTCCACAGTCATCGTGTGGATCTGCTGTTGCCGGTCCTTTTTGCGAACGCTCATGTAGGATGGGAGATAAGGCAGAGAGGTTTCCAATGTCTGCCACTGGTAGTTGCTTGGCTGCCCGGCGAGAAACAGCTGTACGGGCTGGTGAAAGGAATCGGGCTAACTTAACCCTCCAGAGAAAGGCACATCTCTGCATTTTTTCAACACTTGATGAAACAGAGTAGTTGACTTGGTCACTGGGATGACTAAAAGTGATGGGATTCTTTGCAAGGATTAGATGTTTAGACAGACTCCTTACCTGGGTCACTGCATTGTCATAGGCCATCACTGAACCTTGTTCATTATAGCGGGGAGCCATAATGAGTGCCTACTGTTGTAATAGTGGGGCAGAGTATCCATAAATCAAAACATAGTGTCAGTGTTGAAAATTTACAAACGTTACCCTCATATTAATTATAGAGTCATATTTAATATCCTGAGACCAATTCCCTATTTTTTCCACAGTTTCAAATTTTGGATTGTCTCCTTATATACCAGCCCATTTGATTTGGGTCTTACAAAATGCTGAATAGTAATACTTTCTTCTCCACCCACTCCCACCTCAGTGAAGTCTTATTGTAGTAACTTTAAGAATCTTAAGATCCCCATTGAAATCAGTGACAGCATAGCAACTAAATAAGAGCCTTGGTATTGAAAGATCCCCTGTCCTTACACTTTGTAATGTATCCTAGCAACAAACCACCAGAAAAATGTTTAATTTTCTAAATTAAAAAAAAAAAAAAATGTATTGACTCACGATATAACTGAAAAATTAACTTGTGGAAATACCCTTGATTCAGCAAATCTTTCAGAAATCTGAACAATAATGTAATTCCCATTCTTTCCCCATAAAATGCTTGTATAGGTTGGTGCCTCGTTTCATTGTAACTTTAGCATTTTTATACACTCACTGTGTTCTACTGAAAAACATCTACTCTAAAAACATTAACTTTATCCCAAAGCTAACAATATATGTATATAGTACATGTACATTTATATACCAAATATAACTACATAATCAATCTTCATTCCCCTTGCACCATTTTTTCTGGTGTTGCAGTACACTAAATATAAATATCTAGGGAAATAATAAAGTAATGAGTAGTCTTATCGTAGACCTAGCATGCAAACTCTTGCCACCATCAGACTTTTAAATATCATGTACATATACTTTAAAATACAAAAAATAAAAGCACATTTTTGACTCATGTTTAAAATCTAACTTTCACTTCAGCCAGAAATGCAGGCAACTTACTTTCAACTGCCTGCTTAAGCACGAGTGTATTTTATTACATTACGTATGTAAGCTTACATCATAGCTTCAAGTTTCATAGACGTTATATCTTTTGCATGAAATACATGTCTTCAGTGACCTGAATTTGTCACGGTAGCTTTTCTGCATTACTGCTCTGAAAAAGGCGTAAAACTTTGCCTTAAAAGTTTTTAAACTTTTCATGCAGAGAAAATTCACCATAACGATTACAGACTTTATTTAATTTGAAAATAAACTTAATTCAGTCCGTCTTTCCATACTTGATCAAGCCCGAGGGGGCTTACGGGGTATTGACGAGAATCCTGATTAGTCCTGATTTTGCGGCAAAACGAGTGTCTCTGAAAGAGGATGGACAGCAGCACCAGGATCGCCACAAAAAAACACCAGACAGGAGACTAAAGGGAGCAGAGTAATACAGTTTCAAAAAGGTAGATTTTACTGTATCAATATACAGTGTAAAATCTTCGATTATACATTTTAAAAGTTTTGAAAATAATTCAAATGATCAATACTCACTTGAAGCCAATATTACGGTGAGTTGATGCGATGATAAGGTGAGAATGTGGGCGGTATCTGTGTAGTGATTGGCAATGTGGCCATGTCTTCTACAAACACTATGTACTTACAGTCTACTGTATATGCACTTAAATTTTAACGTGCATTAAAGAGCTTAAGGCAAATGTTTGCAGTAAGTCTCCATCTTTTCTTGTCTCACTACAAGAGTCCAGAAACAAGCCGTAGATCTCCAGGAACTTTAAACAAACCACCTGTATTCACACGGGCGTCCGAACCGAGTGGAGCAGCGCGGACTCCTCACACCAGCGATCTTGGGGGTGTGTAAATGAAGTGTCGCCTTTGCAAATTAAAAAACACCAAGAGGACCTCAGGTTAACTCTGCCCCGCCTTCCCAACGCGATACCAATGTACTGGGAGCTGCACAGAAGGGCGAGCTTCACTAGACGTTACTTTAGCAGCACATAGGCCTAGTTAATATTTTGTAGCGCGGTTACCTATCAAACAATCGTACGCCATAAAGCAGACCTATAATCTATAGTCTTAGACTGAGTAAGACTGCCCGTTAACAATGCTTGCCTCCTCGTGCATTTAGAAAATGTATGTTCTAGTTTATCTGGAAATAAAATGTCGTACTTCATTGTGGTCCTCAGCATTTTAACAGAGGCAGGTGTGTGTATGTGTGTGTGTGTGTATATATATATATATATATATATATATATATATATATATATATATATATATATATATATATATAAAAAATTGTATATCGAGTTCCACTGTAACTCCCTGCACACCATGAAAATTAACATTAACACATGCAGGGATAGGATCGGTCTTGTTATGAAGTAGTTATGTTAGCTGGGTTGCTAAGTAGTTTTGTTCATTTTATGTGTGAACTTTTAAGTATTTACATTTAAGGCAGAATATAAGAGATTTCAGTGGTGATCCCTTTGGGTGGCAGGGTTAGGGTTACTTCGGTAACTGGGAGATATTAGACACCTGACATTGCGGTCAGATTACATAGAAATTAAAAGCCAATGGAAACTTAATCGCTGGGATGAAAGCCCAGAGAAAGATTTATTATTACATAAAGTTCGCCTGCCAGTTGTTATGTCTTGTCCAGTCCAAGGTCAGAAGCAGCGAACCTGTCTTTGCACAGCCGTATTGTGCAATATCCCCAAATGAAATGTAGGGTGGTCACTGATATTTTTGTCCTAGAGCTGCATGTTTATACTTGTGCAGTCAAGTATTTGACCGTTTTATTAAGCTTGCCTAAGCCACTTACTTGCAAAATTGTTCAGTTATATTTCCATGAGCATGCATAAACCAAATTAAATTAAAACAACATTTTGTATTTGTAACTTTCATGCAGCTGTCTCAGGAAGCACCTGTAGCTGTGGCATCTCTGTGACCTTCATACAGATAAAAACACAATTAGACCTAAATAAGCTTACGATCTTTTGTTTGTTTGTTTAATATGAGGTACGAACTTAAATCCGAAGAAAAAGATGCGGTTTATACGAAGTGAGGATGTTGACCCCCATATTGCATTTATTTCCCCCCCTTTTGGGGGTGTGGACGGCGGATCTGGGTCTGGTTTCTGGCAGAAAGGCGTCCGCCGCAATGGCGGAGCCCGGTTCCTCCCCACGTCACCGAGCCATGCTGGCCCTTCCCAAGGCAGACCCCCCTCCCCTCCCCTCCCCTCCATTCCTCTCGCAGAAGCGCAAGCTCTGTCACTTATATCCATCCACCATCTTTCCCCTGTGAAACTCTAGCTCGCTTTCCTTCCGGATGCGATTGTGTTTCCAGCCCATAGTCCCTGTCCTGCTGCCCCATGCCAGAGCCGAGGCCGGCAACCGGAAAAGATGGTGGCAAGCGCTCGGGTGCAGAAGCTGCTCTGGCGGTACAAGCCGGCGATCGTGGCGGCCCTGGTCGTCCTCCTCATTCAGGGGCTTGTGGTGTGGAGCCTGAGGAGCCTTGAAGAAGGAGAAGTGGAAGTAAGTAGCCAAATGTAGTGGGCAAACTAGCGATAATTCGACCATACACTCGTACCGATCATTCGCTGAGACATGACAGCACCCCCATAGCGTGTGTATTTTACCTGATCGTCTGTCCGTTTAACTCGATTCAACAACTAGCTGCTTGTTTATAGCAATTAATGCGTTACGGCTAGTTAACCTCGCTCGCCTTGTTTACTTCGGGCGAGTCGCGGACGCGAAGGTCCGGCTCTATAAACAGGCGTGGTGGTCTCGGAGCGCTTGTTATTTATATCAGCGCCATTTTTCAGTTTGATCGCCTTTTCTGCTCGTTTTATTTACATTTTCCACCATGTTCAGTGTTTCCTTGCTGGATCGTTGCTCTGGCACAGTGCGGTGAATTGCAGGGGTGGCATTGTAAACAATGAAACAGCCTGCGTGCCTTTGCACAGACACTACCTTACCATGGGTGCTAATTTCTGTAACGTTTCGTTGAACTAAATGTATTGTTAATTTGGTCAGAAACTCCCTTTCCTTCCTTTTCTTCTCTCTGATAATAAATGTATACTGCGAATAGTATCTAATGGCAGCTGCTTTACTGTCTAGGCGGCGAGTTTCGATTTAAAACCATAATTTTCCAGTGGTGTTAGATTGGAAAAACTTAATAGACCTAAAGCAGAATCGCTAAAAAGGCTATGATTTATTTGAAGCGTTAACTGAGATCACCGGCATTACTACGGGGGGCCTAGTTAAGTTCAACTTCGTTGGATATATTCTCTTATACTGTTGACTAATAACTCGCTGCTGTATATAAACGATGTGTAGTTTCTGTGACATTGTTACATTTCTTCAACCAGGAAGGGGTTCATTTTAGTATACACCTTACAACCCACTGGGGTTAAGCAGATCAAGTATTGCTACAACCTCCAGTTTTAGTTTCACAATAAACTGTCATACAATCAAGCTGTTCTGCAAAAAAAACGGAAGTGCATGCTGCAGTCTGTCCAGAATTATTTTGAAAATATATTCATTGCAAATGTTTGGTCATCCCATTATCCCAGTTTGGATATTCTGTCCCCCTACATAGAAAACTAAGCTAGTTTAAAATCAGTGTAATACTGTGTTGGGATTTATTAGGTGTCTTCCTTACTGTACACACTCTGCAAATCCTTACTTGACTATAAATATAAATATAAACTCCATCCCGCCACACACCCATACTTTAGCCTGTTCAATAAACCTGCTGCTATTCAGATGTGCAATTTTCATCTTGTAATTTACCTGTATTACTACACTTAACAGAATTTATTCTATTTATATATATATATTGTATTTCTGTTTCTCATGTATATATCATGGTGTATATAGTGCAGTCTCTCTTTTATAATTTTATTTCAGTTTCTTATTCTTATATCTGATATTCTTTTTTATGTTCTTGTCTTGTGTCTCTGTGTAACCGCTTAGTAGTAACATGAGCATTTTCCTCCAGGATCAATAAAGTTTTTCTGATTCTGATTCTGATGATACTTATGGTGTCATGGGAAACTAGTTCATTTAATTGTTATGTAAATGCATCCTTCTGAATAAAGCACCTAAAGAATTAAAAATTAAAACCGTTGATCACTGTTGTCGCTCTTCCCCCAGAAGAAGCACCGAAGGTCGAAGCTCCCTGACAACAACAGCCACGATTCCAGGCGGGCTGCTTCCGTATGGGAGGGACAGCATGGGGCACTGGGGAGAAATCGCAGCCGCTGGCGGGTCGGAAGGGACCGGCTCGGGGGCGCGGCATCCCGGGTCCCGATTCAGGAGCCAGGGCAGCACAAAAGGGCCGGCAGGAGGCGCGGAGGTACAGCGGAGGGGGTGCCCTCCAGCAGCCGCAACTTTACGGAGCAGAAGGTGGAGGAGGGGATGGGGCACGTCCTGCCGGCCCAGCAGGGTGACGTCGGCAGTGTGGGGGGTGCCCCTCCGGCCCTCAGCAGTGACTTTGTGCCCAAGTGCGACATAGTGGGCAAGGACGCTCTGTCTGCCCTGCACCGTGCCAGCTCCCGCCAGTGCAGGCAGGAGATCGCCAACGTCGTGTGCCAGCATCATGAGGGAAAGCTTATGCCGCAGTCGTTCCCACAGTTCTGCCCGCAGCAACACGGTGAGCCTTAAAAAAAATATAAAAATGACGCACTTGTCCAAGAAATCACACACGAGGTTTTATTATTATTTATTGCTGGAGTTCAGCCTATAGGCTGTTTTTGACTTTGTTTACTGATTTGTAAATGCAGGAGGCACTTAGTATAGAGCAAGGGTGGGGAGCCTGATCCATGGAGGGCCGGTGCGGGTTTTTGTGGTTGGCCTCTCAATCAGCCAATGACAGTAGGTTCCCAGGACTGGAGTTGAGAACCACTGCTTTATTATTGGCTGATTGAGAGGCCATCCCAAAAACCTGCACCGGCTCTCCATGGATCAGGATCCTCGCACCTGATATAGAGCATACTAGCAGGACGGTGCAAAGACTTTGGGGGGCAGGTTGCTCAGCGTTAAAAGTTCTTGTGGGGAGGGGTGGTTCAATGGGAGGCACTTTTAATACTTAAGGCAAATAGGCAGGTGCTCAGTCCCCCCCCCGACTGTAAATAATGTTGGATTTTTTTTTTT